GCAACTGCGATGCAGAAGAGGGAGGCGGCAAAAAGCCCGCCGACGCATCCCGTCCCCCTGGTATCAAGCATTGCGTCTTCCTTCATTATAGAAACATCGCGACAACCCTGTTGGACGGGTGGTGTCGGTAGGTATGATTGTCTGTACTTGAGGGGTGGCAAACTCGCAATGGCGAAGACGCCGTTCGAATGGCCGAATCACGAGTATTAGAAATCAAACGATGTGGGATATATGAATTATAAACCCTAGAGCTCGCGGTTCAGCTCGGTGAATGCTACTCGATACCAACAACCCTCATTCTATCCCACATGTTTCCCCATTACCTAGTATGTAACGTGTAGGAAAAGCAACAGAAAACGACTGCTCTTATATGACGACATATATATGGCAAATGATTTCACTGCTGGTTAGCTATTCACGGCGTGATTCAGAGGTTACCATATATATCGTTATATTCGTGTCTACCACCCATTACCCTATCTCGAAGGGCGGCACAGCCGCGAAACGTAGCAATTTCATTGGGCATCTAGGAAGGCTAGCCTCTCGGGTTAAAGATGGTAGGGTGTCCACGCTCACATAATGTGCTGCACCGGCCTGGGTAAGCTTGGCAGGGGAACTGGTTCTTACATGAATGAGGCTAATCCGAGCATTATCGCCTCGCGTGGAAGATGTAGTATTGTGCGCATGGTTATACTGGCCATGCGCTAGCTGGCGTCCCTATATAGACGACGGAATATTGTTGATGCAGTTGATGATACACGCAGATAGTGTTGAAGAGTGATTTTCAATCCTGAACGCCATATGCCTCTCCCCAAAGGCGTTGAGCCTACCGAGACTCTAGAATGCCCCTCTTGCTATCCTCAGCGATGAGCTTGATGTTGAGATCCCACGCTCTAAACCTATAACGCCTGATATGCACCCATGTATGATAAGTCGACTCGCTGTTATGTTTGGAGTTTACCTGTAGGTTCTATTGAGCCCGACCAGGCTCAAAAACTCGTTTCTAGTCTTTTCTTTCTTTTCGAAGCAACCAAGCACGCAACTGGTGATGGTACTGGTCGTAGTCTTCTCGACACCGCGCATGACCATGCAGAGATGACTGGACTCCATGACAACTGCCACTCCCTGGGGTGTCAGGACCTCCATGATGGCGTTGGCGACTTCTCTCGTCAGCCGCTCCTGTACTTGGAGCCTGCGGCTGAACATCTCCGCAATACGGGGAAGTTTAGATATGCCGATAACGTTATTCTTCGGGATATACCCAATGTGCATCTGACATAAGATTAGAGTGGGACTCGTACGTGAAAACCAAGATAACTCACCTTGCCGGTGAAGGGGACGAGGTGATGTTCGCAAAGGCTGAATATTTCAATGTCCTTGACGATGACCATCTCGTTGTGGTTCTCATGGAAGATGGCGTTGTTTACAATGTCTCTAACATTCTGTTGATAACCCTTCGTGAAGAACAGCATCGCCTTTGCGTATCTCGTCGGCGTGTCTAGTACACCCTCTCTGTCGGGGTCTTCGCCAACACATTCCAGAATTGTCCGGATGGCTCCTCGCATCTTCTCAAGCCTCTCAGCTGCCTGTTCGGAGCTCTCTTCAAGTCGTTCCCGAGTTCCGCGGCCTGGATTATGTGAGTGGAGGGTATCCAATTGCAGAATCCATGTACATACTAGGTCGGCTTAGGCCGTCAAAGTCAATGACTGGACTGGGAGACCTTGTTTCCGCACTTTGGACTTCTTCCTCTTCTTCCTGGATCTTGGACTTCTTATTCTTTTTTCTTGATGGCTCATCCCTAGGATCTCGCGCAGCTTTGCTTATGCTGTTTCTCCTCTTCAACGATTTCGAGTGGCCATTGATCTCAGATATCCCACCATCTTTTGCCCGCCTTCTCTTCTTCTTGCTCGCCTTCTTGTTTTCGTCACGATCTTGCTTCCCGCTGCCATTGACGGAGTCATCCACATCGGAAACGCCTGTCGTAGAACCACTTAATGCATCTATAGCTATTGATTCTCGGTCGCCCCGTTTGGAGTCAGCAAATTGGACCATTTTGCTTTTTTCCCGAGCAGAACCTCCACTGATGCAAGGGTATTATCGGAGGTGGCGCATATATATAAGTTGAGGTTCAGCGGGGTGTAGTTAAACGGTTTATCGCTCGTGGGATTTTTAATAGGTAGGATTCTAGCGCTTGAGGCCTCATAAAGAACGATCCGCGGAGCGGAATAACTGAAATCAGAATTCCAATCAGCTTAATCAGTTCAAGCACATGCATAGGGCGTAGTATTTACCTTGTTACTTACGTACGGTGTATGGTGAAAGAGAGAAAGAAAATATGAAGGCATCAAATCAGAGCCTGCATCACTAGCAAATGTGAGCTCCGTCTAACTAAGCTAAGCTTGTAAAAGTAAAAATTTATGGTAATGAGTTGCACATATCCGATTTCTGACTCTTCAATTGTCCGTTATCGGGACGATAAGAACTTTTCGGAGTCGGCGGGGTAGGGTCTATGCAGCTGCACCCTGTCAAATGACGTACCGAGGTATTCTGAGTGGATACGGTCCCACTCTGGTACTCATTGGCCTAACTGAATCAGGTAGAATCAATCAAATCGGACCTTACCTAATATTGACTTGACATTGAGTTGGACTAGCACGGCTTTTCGCGCCCAGCACTGTGCTTAATTCATCATCGGCCAACAGAGTTACCATCAAGTTTCATCAATCAACACGGCCTTCTTTTCATTCCCATTCAACCTTATAAATTTTTAATAAATACCCTTTTCTCCCCACGCATATTGAGACTCTGATTGTTACTAACCCCGTCGATCGTCGTCTCTCGGAATCTGAATAACTACGACGCAACTAACCTACCGAGTAGCTGGAAGCCGTCGCAGTATCTAGGGACCTCAAGTGGATATCACTAAACTAGGAGCTCGACAACTAGTTCAACATGGCGTCTCCTCCTCGCGCCTACTCGCCCGCGGGCTCCCCTCCGTATTCTGCCGCGCAATTACCCTCCAAGAAGCGTGGCTCAGGCGTTGCCGATCTCTCCGTTCAACCTCCCTCTCTCAAGCGACGCAAGGCATCTACCATGTCAGTAGCCTCCGCAGGCTCTGCCCATCCCCTTCGACAGACGTCCTTCCCACCTGACGAATCGCAATCTGGAAACTTCTCCCCGACATACCGACGTTCGCCTAGTGTGGACAACATGAGTTTCGTCAGCGGAAGCCAGGTCAGCGGCGCGCCCGTTAAGAAGAAGCGAGGCCGGAAGTCGAAGGCGGAGCGTGCGGAGGCAGCAGCCGAGGCGATGAGAGATGGGTCGCCGAGTGTTGTCGGCGGTCGCGCGCCAACAGTCCTAAGCACTGCCAGCGGTAAGGACGCCGGTAAGGACGGCGAGGATGGCAGGAAAGAGGAAGAGTTCGAGATACCCGAGAACATGGCTAGTATGTCTGCTGCTCGCACAAAAGAGGAGATCGAGGAAGAGAAGGAGCTTATTGCGTTGGTGAAGGCGCAGATGGATGAGGTGCAGTTCGCCCGCTACGAGGTGTGGCATCGTCAGACTCTGAAGAATGCCGACATTAAGAGAGTAAGCTTCCGGATATAGTCTTATTGACTCCTCCGGATTGTTACGGCGTGACTAACATCTACCTAGCACATCAACAGCGTCACTTCTCAGTCATGCCCTCCTGCCGTTCATCAGATGATGCAAGTCGTTTGCAAGATGTACCTCGGAGATGTCGTCGAGGCGGCACGCGAGGTCCAGAAGGAATGGGTACAGCTAGGCGAGCAGCAAACCGAGGAACCCGAGACCGACGAGAAGTTTCAGCCTACAAACGAGATGTCCAAGTATCGGCGACAGGCTCCGCTACGACCGGAGCATCTTCGCGAAGCATACAGGCGCCGCGTTGCGGGGACCGAGCATGGTGGTGCGCTAGGAAGTTTGTTGGTGTGGAATCAGCAGACAGCTAATGGGGCCGATAGATACGCAGTTAGAGCCGGAGGACGGCGCATTTTCAAGTGAGCTACGTGAATGCTTTCGACAGCAGCCTACCTTCAAGACGCTTCGAAACCAATATTACCAGTTCACAACACTCAAGAAGAGAGAAGCGAGAGAAGCAGAGACGAGTAAGAAATAGCCCATCCAGTATGGTTATGGAGCAGCGACCACCTTTTTACGCATAAGACGAGGATTAAGACAAGACTTTTCGGCATCTACGATTTATAAAGCTACGTGGGTGGCTCGAGCAAGATCACACGGCGCTACCTGGCTTGGTGGCGCGTTAGCGTAGCAGTTCTGAGCTGATTCGACAACTACGGATGAGCTCGATCCGCTGAGTTTGATAGAGGTTAAGGGAAGGGAACAGAACAATCCCATAATGGGAGCAGCTATTTGCGTAGGATGACCCAGTCGACTTGTCTGAAGGTGGAATTCTTTCGGAGGCAAGCTCGCTCGTGGTGAGCTGAGCCGTATAGAACGGCTCCTACGGGATTAATCGCGAGAGGACACTTATAGCTGAGCCCTTGTAATACTTAGTCAATTATAAACGCGAATTGCCTCTATCTTGATTGCCATCTCGTTTTGTCTTCCTTACTTTGAGAGTGCTGTAGGTCCAATGCGCATCTGACTGATTATCAAAGTCAAGTCGTGTATACATGTATTTATATACTTAGTAGCTTCAATCTTGGCTTTATACTCAAGCTTACAGGCGGACTATCTTAGGGGCCTCGGGATTAAATAATTCATTGTACAATAGAAACAGTCTTCATCTACTCCGATTGAGGCTATCCCGATCGTGGCTTCTCTCTGCCTTGTGAATTTCGCAATGAACGGTGATCAAGGTCTTCAGTTCTACGAACTATAGAAATTATAAAGCGCGTGCACCTAATTACGCGTTGCGTCTGTTTGTCCGGGTTTGTCCGGCGCCTCCGGGATCGGAACAACTAGCGCGTGACCTCGACGTTAGCTACATAGCGACAAATTAACGACGGATTTGATAAGCCCTTATAGCTCAGTGGTAGAGCGCGACACTTGTACTCCTATGCAAGCTTATGTCGAGGTCCATCGTTCAATCCGGTGTGGGGGCAATGCTATCCCTACGGTCCTGTTGCACCCCATTGGGGCGTGTATGGATATTTTTTTTCTTCATTATATTTCGTGCGTTTTAGATTCGCGCTTTTTCGTTTTCTTTTTATCATTTCTTGACGACCACGATGGCATATGTATGAACGGCACATGATTTGTTCACCTATCGTTCGGTTAATTGTTCTTGTTAAGGATTGGGGTACATCCCTTCACTTGGAATTGTTCTTAGCATGTCACTTTACATGGCAGGTAACCGAACCCAACCGGCGCACCCCTGGATCGGCCGCCCCGGAATGAAAGTGCCGGATACTCAATGCATCCTCCACATTGCTTGGAGAAGTGTCGAGAGATCCGGGAGACTGGCAGAAAATCGCTAACCATACAGCTGGAGCTACAATCCTTGCTAAGAAAGCTTGATGTAGTTGAGGCTTATATGTGTTAATAGCTACTACTGCGTGATGATATCGTGTCGTGTGTTTTGACATCAGTGTCAGAACACACATGGTCGCAATCGACCTGTAGCCAGTCTAGGCAGCAGGATTCTCTCCAATGTTACTCGCGGAGAGACTTTCCGACCTGTTTGAGTATGGTGGGTGTGGTATGGCATAGCAAGGGGTCGATGGCTGATTTGGCGTGGGGTGGAACGCCGCCTCAGGGACTCGATCACAACCAATTAGAACTAGGAAAAGCTCGTGTCAAGCCCTGAACAATGGCTCCATGTAGGTTGAAGAATCGATCGTGGAGGGCTTGTCGCCAATCAGAAGAAGGGATCGGCAGGGTTTTGCGGGTGTCAAATGAACGGGAAGGTCTTTTTACATGTAATGTACATACAACCGTCGCATCCTTCCAGCGTATGAGCCGTTAATTACAAGCCCGTGTTATGGGCGTTTGTAAAATTCTTAGGGATATGGGTGTCGGCGTCGGCGTCGAGCGCAATCGTTCATTATCCATTGTCAACAACCACGATATGTAACTAGCAGAAACGTACTGCAAATTCGCGGAGTAGCCAAGGCGATGTGCTCATAGACAATCGATTATCTATGCGAAGAGTAGCTGGCTCATTACATTCGCTGGATTGATCGCAATGTCGTCCTCGGCGTACAGCAGGCGGACGCCCGTCATAGAGTACGAGCCTTTTAAGCCGGTCGCGCTTCAACCATACATCCCCATAGCATGGGAATCATCAAGTCAACCGTCCTGGGACAGGGCCAAGCTCGCATTGCGCATCGTATCGACAATCATGGCTGTCCCTCTGTTGGGAGTATCTGTTTTCGGATTCTGGGCACCTTATGGGTTTAACTACTACCCCATTTTAGGAACTCCAATGGTTAGTCAAACTCGTGTACCATCCCGTCGCCGCATTGCATATATATAGGTACTAAAGAGCACTCGTCTAGGGTGCAGTAGTTTTCTCTTACGACCTAGCCGAATACATCGTGATGTGCGCCAAAAGGAGGAAGTCGGGTGTCCAGCCGAAGGTGTCCCTCGGGTTCGAGCTTATCATCTCGCTGGGAGGATTGGCGACATCAGTGCTCCTTATCTTCTCTGCGATCCACGTCTGGGGCTGGCACCCATACTACGAGGGAGCCTCGTATGGGATTCCCATTTCCGACTTCAATGGCAATAGATATTTTTGGTTTGGCATGACCGTTGGCGCCAGTGTTCTCGGCGTATTTATATCGTGAGTGTTTCAGCGCCGCTTAACACTGTTTCAACTTTCCTGACACTCCTAAAGATTAATACACTTCATCTTATTCGTCCGCGACTGCGTAGAAGTCGATAGACAGAGAAAAGCCGAGAATTATGGGAGGTGGATGGCTTCAACAATCCCCATACAAACTCACTATCCTCAACAACAACCGCCACCACCACCACGAAAAGTAGACGAACCCGTTTCGCCAGACACGATAGACACAATGGACACGATGAAGACGACGATGACGATGGTTGCGAACGATGACTTCGAATGTAATATGAAGTTTCGGATGGTAGGGCACTGATGAAATGACAACAAGGATAATCAATCGCTAACATCATGCTCTGTCAAGGACGAAGTAAAGCATGATTGAAGGGATTCTGCGATCATCCGACGGCGCCAATTAAAAAAAAATAGAAAAAAGCTCGGACGGAACCTCGCATTGCGCATCAGGAGTAACCACGGATTAGGTTCTCAAAAGGTTCTCTCTACGCCAAGAAGCATGCGGTGTACGACGCGCAAGATAGCGAATTTGCGAGCGCACCACATGAATCATCTCAATCCCATATTCCGGTACGAGACTTAGCGGACGTAGCTAGCGCGTCCTGTCTGGGAAAGAAGCGCTGGGAGGCCATGCGCCATTCATGAGGGTCTATAGAGGTTAATGGTTAGGTCAGACCTATGGCGAAACTCTTCTGGATACCCAAACGTGGCATAAGGGGTAGGACAAATCCGACCCGGGGATAGCATTTAATTATAATGAACGTCACATATTATTAGTATACGCATATTCATGACCGTCCAGTTGGTTGATGGATGATTCATGAAATTGGGCCAGTACCTATCAGTGCTGCTACGACAAGTCGACAGCACTAGAGAAGTATCTTCGCTTTCTCGTACCAATCTGACCAGTAGCTAGCTGTTGACCGAATCCTACAATTACTAGACATCTACGACGTTCCCATCCGTAGGCCTACCTACCCCTATCCGGGAATCGCGCATCTTATTATACGTTCTAAAAGCGAAAGGCGACCACGGGGGTAGCGATAGTGAGAAGGATCCTTCATTGAAGCAAAGATACGACCGTTCTACCTACCGTGTGATCGATACCCCTGTCCCACTAATTCGCTATCCAAGCTCTAAGTTACAGGATCAAAACTATGAGCGCACCCGGAGACGATGCACCACACCGATCCGGAGTCTACTAGTCGGGCAACTATACCAGCAACTCTTGAATTACTCCTTCGCTGGTGACGAATGTACTTTCCCCAAGGTTAATGTAGTTTTAGCACCGTTCACTTATCGGTTTGCAACGGGAGTAGTCTTGGCATTATGGAGCCAATGTCCGCTTAGTCATTAAAGGGGTCACTCCTGAATTGCTGTACGCTATGGGCTCGGACAGGGGCCTTAGGAACACTGCATATGGTAAGAGTCAATCAATCGTGGTGAGCTACATCGTAAGCCTTGCGATGCGGTCAGTGGTGGCGAAGACGAGACGCCGAGCTTTCGGCCGTACACCAATACCAGTACTACTAATAGAAATACAAGCATTATCACATTGACATGTCGGCAGCTCGATCACATGGGCGCACTATAAACTCCGGGTCACGCTAATGCCAGATATTCTCAATCGGATCAACTGTAAGGAAAGTAACGGAAGGACCACTGGTCTGCGGTTAGTGTATATGGCGTTGATAGATGTCTATTAAGTTGACTAGTGACTAAATAGCGAGGTCTAGCCCAGCCAAACAGATGATGTAGCCACGTATATTGAGCTATCTATCGATCTTGCGTCTATCGTCTATCATGCTCACGTTTGAGAATGACTTCCGCCAGATTGTTGAAAGGAAAGAGGCCGTGATTCGAACGTCCAAGCTAACATAGGCCTGACGTGGCCAGGCAGTCTTATCGAAAGGAGACCAGCCTTATCGAGTCATCGGTATCGTGTAATCGAGGTGGCTAGAGGACCCATCGATAACGACCTAGTATCCGTCGATATCAAGTTGACTTCTAAATATGGGATGTTTCCATCTTGGTCCGGTCTGATCGATGATCAAGATGCTATACATTTCCCAAGGTCCCCCAGATATTGATCGGGAAATTTTTGTGGATAAAGATAAATGCCACCGTCATTACTGATCGAATAGCTACAACCGGGAAGGATATAGCCATCCTTCTAGGGTTGCCTGGTGATTTGCCAGGAGTTGGCATAAGGTAGCCACGTATCAAGGCGTGAGCTATGATAGAATCACTGTTGGATTCCCTGCCACTATTCCCCTCTCGTATTCACACCCAAGACTCCCGGTCTTTGGGTAATGAAATGAGGCTAGTTACAAGTTGCAATGCCTTTGTCATATTAGTGGATTACCATAGTGGTGGTGGGTTGTCTCGGGCTTGTGGCAAATGGGTTCGGGGAGGGAACATTTGCTGCCTCGGATGGACCTCATCCTACATAATGCAGGAAAGGACAAAGTGCTGCTCACGGGGTCGATATGTCGCCTGCAGCTGTAATAGAGGTAAATCGGGAAGAGATCTTCCGTTGTTTGGTATCAGTATGGGGAGTTGTTGGCGGGTTTTAGGACGTGGGTGCCTATATACTGGGGAAAAGAAGGGCATCCAGGGGCAATAGCCGTGAAGATATAAACTAAAGCGGCTAGGGCAAGCAGCGTCATTCTGTTTTCGGGACCTCTAGATGGTTGGCATCGCCGTTGACCACGAAATCAACCAAGGATTATATCCTCCGGGAGTCCGGTCAATCGGTCATCGATCGTCTTATACCGATCTTTCGGGTTTGTAGCTGTACTCTCTTTTTCGACAACAACGACGAATTCGATCTTGTTCACCGTGACATCCATGCCGGGGCCTTTCTTCCACTCATCGAACTGCTTCTGGAGTTCGATTTCGTGATCGTTGTTCTGGACACGGATCATTGCCTTCTCACGGCGGTCAACACCTTTCACCGCTTCTCGCATCAAGTAGAGAGTTTCCACATTCGGCCAAGATCGCGTGACGGTCTCCCAACATGGCTCAGAGGTGGCAGGTAGATTGGGTGAATCAGTCTGGATAGCCAAGAAACGAACGGCGGAACGATCTGCGTCGCAGTACTGGTGCCGAGCACAGTGGCATCCGCGGCATGCGCCATGACAAGGCTCGAATACCACGATGTCGATACTGGACTTCACATCCTGCATCGTCGCGAAAGAGGGGGTGGGAGTAAATGGACTGTAAAGGGCGAACATCTTGCGGTAGTGGAGTTTGGCGATATATAGCGAGAGTTTACATGCCGTAAACCAAGTAAAAGGCCCA